AAAAAAAAAAACTGTGATCCGTGATTTGATTACTTGTTTGAGTATAGATTTTGTTGCTGTAGCTAAAGTATTACAATTCTAATTTACATGAATAGGTTGGTTTCAAGATGTTCTTAGGAGTCACTGCATCTGTATCTAACTGGGACTCGGAAGGGACAACTTGCAGTCTAATTTTGGAGGATAATCCTTTAGTGGAATTTGTTGAGCTTCCTGATACATGTCAAGGTCTTCGCTATTGCAACATTTTGAGTGGTGTTGTCAAAGGAGCTCTTGATATGGTTAGCGTTTTTCCTTCCATAAATTTAATATCCTTTGCGGTTCTAGTATTCTTTCGGGAAGTGTGTTTTTCTCCAATTTAACTTCCAGCACTCTTTTTTCTTTCTTTTTGAAAAAATTAAAGAGAAAAATCTATTTTTTCTACAAGGGTATTTCTGTTTTTCAGCATAAATTTACGAGTTCTGTTTCGACCTTGGCTATTGTTAGACTCTTTAATATGCAAAGATATCTTCTTTGATATTATTAGTAGATATGGAGCTTTTTTATACACCTTGAGAACTGCAGATGTGAAAAATCCAACAAGCTCATTTAACCTGATCGTATTAGTAGCTAGCCAACATAAAAGCTCATTTAACCTGATCGTATCAGTTCTTGACAACTGCAGATGTTTTCTATTGAAAGATTGTTTGTGCCGTTAAGCTTTGATGAAAAGAATCTAGAAAAAGAACAAGAGAAAAATCTCAGTAGGTTTTAACGGCGGTTTTAGTTCAGTGCAGTAGAATGCAGTAGAATCCATTGTAGATTATACTTATACTCTTCATTCCCTTATATAAAGGTGTCGATGAAAACTGAGGTCACATGGCTGCGTGACATGCTTAGAGGGGATGATGTATTTGAGCTGCAGGTCAAACTTCTCAAACAAATCTCTGAGGAGTATCCATATAAAGATGATGAGTAACTTTCTTTCTTTGCTTTCGAGTACCTATAATCTGGATTTCATGTAATTTTTTCTGTTTCATATCGGATCTTTTGTTCATTTTTTCTAGTTTACTTAGTCGCGAGCGTTGAGCAATGGCCAATTATATAACGCGAAACTTTTTTTTTTTTTTTTTT